ACCCCGTCCTCGACGCACTCCTTCCCGAAGAGGAAGATTCCTTGCTCTCCCTCTCCTTTGATGTACCTGCTTTCGGCGCCTCCTCTTTCATCTCCTCCGGAGCAGGTTTACTTCCTGATGCTAGAAACCTGAAGGTGATAACGTATATCCCACAGCAGGCCTGCATTCCATGTTCCGTTAGGCTCTGGAGGCTAGTCTCCGGTATGTTGAAAACTCCAAAAGATCCTCTTTCCAGAGCCTTGAAGTTAAACACGGTCCAGGTTTTAATCCCAGTAATGGATTGGTTCTGAATCTGGAGCCGAGTTAAATAATAATCAGCAGGTAGTGCCTTTCCTGGAAAGAAGGCTCCAATCCTGATGATTTTTGTGAGATCACCTGCTTCACAAGTTCGTAGGGTTAATCCTTCTTTAATTGTGATGCTCGGTGTTATACTTCTAAACCATTCCACCGTATGGTTGTCTAGGCAGGATACAAGACATCCTCCGAGCTAGGTTTTATTATCTTTTTAAGTAAAAAAATATTTTTTTCCTTTATTATGGCTTTTAACTTGGAAAAACGGCTTTAACTATTTTGATTAAATTCAGTTTATCATTGTATAATTAAGTGGTCTTTAATATCAATTAGGTCTTATCCCCATTGATGTCACTTTACAGCGCTTAAATGCCCTATGTTCAACATGTCTTTCTCTAAAGTACTTTTAATATGGTTTATTTTGAAAATTTAACTCTCTTTTATTTTATTGACAGTAACTATAAAAAATGGCTAAATTTAAGTTTTAGAAGAATTCGATAATTGAATAAAGGAGAAAAAAAGAAAAATGCTTATTCAGGTCGAAAATGCATCTCCGGAAATAATAATCAGAAGGTGTATGTATAATATATCGTTGGAAAGTGGAGAATTTTAGTAAATAATATCAAATAAATAAAGTTGTAGAAAGTAACACAGTAACAAAAAAAATATATATATAAATAATAATTTCAGAAAACTAACATCATTTAAGGTAAATCACATGTTTCCAAGGAAATTAAATGAAATTTTCTTACTAAATGTAAACTTTTAAATTTTTTTCTAAGTTTGGAAAAAAGTATTTAAAATCCACGGAATCAAGGCAATGACATTGTATAAAATACTATTTCATTGTACTTGTGTGAAAAAAGAAGTGAAACATAAAAATATTTCATGGATATGTTTACAATCTTAAATATGTTTATTGTAGTTTAATAACTCTAGATTTAATATTATATTTAAATAATTAAGTATCTATCAACCGTTTATTCTGTATAAAATCATGCAACTTTTTAGAAAATTAAATTAGTGAATAATTTGATGAATTTTCCCTTTGTGATATCACAACTGTATCAACTTACAATTAGTGTGACAACTTTTGACCTATCTATGACAGACAATACAAATATCGTAATTCCATTTTTGTGAACTTTGCAATGGAAAATAATAGTTTAATAACTAATAGTCCTTCCATAATTAACGGATGATAGTACAATCCATAATTAACCATTGATAAAATAAATAGGAATTTTGTAATTTTAATGGTATTAATGATTTGTTATTAGTAAGATTTAAGCTTTAGCTTAGTTTAAAATGCAGTGCAAACATTTTATAATAGCCCAACATTACCAGAAAATAATTTCTATTCAAGGTATAGCAGTAAGTGAAAGTTGTGTGTTGCGCGCACCAGATTTTTCTATTAATATTTGGCAATTTAAGTTTATAAAAATATTGAGAACAGGGTTGATGTCACAGTTGTTTCCCTTTAACCATCTCTAATTCCAAGAATGATAGAAAAACCTCATTGCATCTTATGATATTGATTTTATTTGATCCATTAAATTGATGATAACCATCTTGTATATTATAGCCCAAAGCCTTAAAACCCTTGAATTATTTCGTCCTATATCACTGGGCACCATATTTAAAATTATTTTTAAGGTGTAGTAATCTAACTAGATTCTCTTAAAAATAAATTGTTAGTACATACCAGAGCTCTCCAAACTTTTTGACCTGCGGGTCATGGCTTATGAATCCAAAATTATCAATGAGAAGGAGTTGATCGGAGGGGGGGGGGGGGTGTACGGTCAATTAATAATAAATTAAACAAGTAGAATTATTTAATTTTTGCCCACGTTTCGACCCACTTTGCAGGTCTTCATCAGGGCTACAAAAGATACAAAATATGGTGAAAATAAAATAAAAGTAGATATAAAATAAGAAGAAGTTGTCTGATACAGAAATAAAAAGATGATATCAGAGATATAGTGGGTGACAATGTAGTTAAAATAGCAAGTATTATATAGTATATATACTAGTATATATAATAGTATATATTATATAGTATTATATACTAGTAGATTATTTATCAAATGTAATCTCTATTAGTTTGTTATACACTCATTCTTTATCTTTTATCGCAATCTGTTTACTTTTAACTTACATGCTATATGCTCCTTTATTTTCTATTTTTATTCATACTTATTTTCCATTTTTGTTTGTATCTTCTACATATATAATACTTGCTATTTTAACTACATTGTCACCCACTATATCTCTGATATCATCTTTTTATTTCTGTATCAGACAACTTCTTCTTATTTTATATCTACTTTTATTTTATTTTCACCATGTTTTGTGTCTTTTGTAGCCCTGATGAAGACCTGCAAAGTGGGTCGAAACGTGGGCAAAAATTAAATAATTCTACTTGTTTAATTTATTATTAATTTGACCGCACCACCCGATTAACTCCTTCTCATATTATATCAACGGTCAACCATCTCTACATCATTATACAAATTATCAATGTTCAAACACATTGAAATTCAAACATTGACATTACCTATACATCACTGTTATTATTTATTAACTGTCATAGTAACTTAGGAACTTTTAGAAATTGATTTTTAAAGATCGAAACATTGCCAAATTTGTTAAATAATCCAAAAAAATTTATATTATACCTTGACTTATATTTAAAATTCAATAGAAACAGACTCTAAAAAGGGTAATCTTAGCAGAAGATTGTTTGTATCTTAATTGTGAAAGTGTTTGTTATGTTAAATAAAATGAATCTAGTCTACCGTTTTAAATCAGAGTTTAAAAAAATTAAACCAGTCAATTAAAAACCGAAACGAGGATAATGTGATAAAAGTTGTCTTCTTCTTCTTTCTCTACCTCCCAGTTGCTAGAAGGTTTGCACTTAATCCATCTCCAATTTTTGAAATCTATTATGTCTTTCCAAATTCCCTCAAAAAGATCTTCGCTATTATATTTATGCCCCACATAAATATTATCCTCTACTCTACCTCAATGGCCTACCTATCCGTTTCCACACTTCAATTAGAAACCTTGGGTTAATGTTTGATCAACATCTGACCTGGAATAATCATATTTCCCAAATAATCCGAAAATCCCCCTCAAAAAAAATACCTCAAAATACCCTCAAACTGTTCCTGAGATTATGTGATTTCACTCCCGTTAAAATCCGTCTGCTCCCAGTTTCTCCACTCATTTTCTCTCATTTCTATTATGGCTGCCTTTTATACGGTGGACTGCCTGGTGGGGCTTGAGACCAGATTAAAGAGGCTAATGAATGGTTTCATTAGATTTATCTTTGGGATCTCCAGGCGCTCCCACCTCTCCAGTTGGTATGCCGAGTTGAAGTGGCTCTATCCGGGTCTTCCGACGGCAATACTTCCTAGGTGTATTCCTTTTTTCAACCAAGAAACCCTCTTACCTTCTCAATTGGTTTACTCCTTGTTCCCCTGTCCATTCGTTCAACACGAGATCCCAGCCCTCAAACCTGTTTATTCCTTCTCATAGAACTGTATCCTTTAAAAAATCCTTTGCCATACGTGCTACCTTGTTTTGGAATTCCCTGCAAACCTCCATATGCAAATCCTCATCCTTGACCTCATTTAAACATAATTTATTTATCCATCTCCTCAGCAATCAATCTTCCGAATATGTGTAAAATAATGTTCACATTTTTCAGACCTGTCAGTCGCATTTAATGTTATCCTACAGATAATTATATATCATCCACATTATTAATGTGTACAAATATGTGAACTCGCACATCAGAATTCATCTAAGATTTAATTTATCTACCAGTGCCTTTTCTTTATTTTGATTTTTAATTTTAGATCTAGATAGCCTTGTAATTTTATTTATTCCTAATTACTTCTAATGCCAGACAATTGTCATTAAATTGTACATTGTAGTTATTCTAAGGGGACTTAGTCCCAGAATAAAATTTATTTTTCTTCTTCATAAATAGGAGTTAAGATGATTCCTACTGATCCCACATTTTATTTTGTTACGTCTTTGAGCAAGCAAGAGTCCACATATCTTCTGTAGCTCCTGTTTTAGGATCACGGAAGTTCTCCTTATGGTTCATAGTCTAGTGTTTAAATCTGTAACCAGAAAGGTTATTTATACTACTGTAGCTTCTCCAAAAATCAGAAATAATATCGGTTCCAGTGTTAACACACTCTTTAATCACTTTATTTAATGTTGTTTCAGTTCTGTCGGAGACTGCATAAAGAAAGCACTCCTTATTTTCCCGATATATATACTGCTGAAGAACCACTTTTGGAGATACGTTTTCCCAATATCATATTTCCGTCTGGAAAAGATTTTTGTTTAGTTCGTCACCACCAGTCAGTCCTGAATATCTATGAAACAAATTCACACAAACCTCACATCACAAATTCTTCCAATCTGATGTAGAATGTTCTTCGAAACCAAATTTTTTCTTATAAATTTTTACTGTAGTTTATTTCGTTGACCAGCAACGAATGAAATATATAATATTTTGAATTTACCCTTAAATCGCTAATTATTAAATCATTAAATTACTACTTAACTCATTGGTGCCCAGATTCTGCAAAAGACCCTCCAAAAAAAAGATCTATTGCATCTTAAAATTTATCATTAAATTTTTAAAAAATTGATTTGTACATTTATCTTTGTTTTCTTACTTATTACAGGGTAATCTATGTTCAAAACGCTCCTGAGAAACAACCATTGACTTTGCAAGTGCCCGCTACAAGTGAGGGCAGCACAAGCGGATGCCAGCTTCCCAAGCCTCGCCAGTCCATGGAAAACAATGGAAATTTCAAAGACGAGACTAGTATCGATTTGAAAGGAGTTCGTAATTTGCACATATTTTTTAATGACGAGAGTAGAGTGTGTGTTCAAAACGAGGATCGGGAAAGTGAAGAGAGTGAAGGAGGTCAGGATACCTCTTGGAGGATTAAGATAGGGAAAGCCGAATCTGTACCTTCACAGAGGTACCGATAACCGATACTACTATCTACAGATCATCTTTTGATGAATTTTCTTTTTTGTTTTTATTAAAGCTATCTACAGTTGTTTTTATATGGTGTGGCTAAGACAAAAAAAAAATTATAAATCTGTTGCGATCCATCACATGACTTTCACTTACAACCCTATTATCAGTCGAAAACAATGTTTCATAAAGTTAATAAACCTTGAGAGCTTACGCTATATATCCAGGGTGTTCCGTAAGTAGAGGTAAATTTTTATACGAGTGAAATTAGAACTCAAGAGCTACAAAAAATTTCATATAATTGCCCGATTTCCAGCAGAAAAGTTGAAAATTTAAGATTTTTTTTTTTAATGAATCATTTTTTGTTGGATAGGAAGCCATAACTAAAAGCCCTGGAACCAGAGCCGAAAAATCGACCTCATCGCAGGCGAAGATTTGATTGTAAATTACGAAAGTGTATGTATGTTATTCTGAGTAAGAAGAACCTTGTCTGCCGTTCCAGAGCCTCTGCTTTCAAAAATGGTGGCTGATTTAAAGAATATTAGCCCAGTAATTTGAAGATCGGAGCGGGAAATCCATTATGAAAAATGTGAGAAAAGTTTTTATTTTTTAAACTTGTAAATGTGGGTTTAGATATATAAAAACCAAAATAGCTAACTCGGACCACCAAGGGAAAACTTTACATCCAAAAAAGTTAGATATTTTTTTTGTTTTTTTACCTATAACCCCTAAACGATGCATCAAAGTGAAAAATGTACCCTTTAATAAATTAAAGAACATTAAATTGTGTGTCGAACGAGTACATAATTTTGTTACATGGTAAGATATATAACCACGGTCAACCAACTCTGATTTTTACCAAATTTTTCAAAAACTCAGACAAATTACTATAAATGGCCCTGCAACATGGAAATGAGTTCGTGAAGAGGAAAAATCCATAAAATCAAAGTTGTAGAGCATCAAATTTTGGGTCCAGTGAGTAAAAACTAATTTAACGTATGTCACTTACTCCAAACAAAATCGGTAATCTCCCGATGGTTAGAAATTGGTAATGAAGGTAAACGTGATTATCAATATTTCAACAGTATGGGTGTCTATTCTACCGAGTTATTTTTGTTTAGAGTCTGCTATATACGGCATAGGACTCTTTTCCATCTTTCAGCAGCGAAGGATTTTGATAAACGATGGGTCGAAACATACCAAATTTCATAAAGGAATAAGGTGTCCAATTATATTTGAGATATATAATTGGCCTAAAATAAAAATGTCAGTACTCAGTGGACGAAAAATTTGATGCTCTGCAACTTTAAATCTATGTGATTTTCTTCTTAAGTTACTATTTCGTGACTGCTTGCGGTTGACCACTGCTTTAGTAGAATAGAAAGGAACCTATTTCGCTGGCGCTGCTCGGCAGTCTAGGTATGACGTCATATCTAAGCTGCTCCTATCTGACCGCTCTTGAAGCAGTGGAGCTGTTGGCGGTTGTAGGTTATGTTATCATATTAGAGCATTGTTTTGATGATAACAGTCAAGTCAATAGGTTTTATTTCCTATATTTTTTTTAAGTCAGGCAAAATTATAAGAAATATTGTTTAAAACTTAAACAATGCAGTAGTAAATTATTTTTTTAAGGTTGAAGTAACAAGATTATTTATTTATTTATTCCACCAACATATTTTACAGCGAAATTCAAATATACTTAAATCCAAACGATATTAAATAAATTAAAGAATCCAACAAATTTTCAGGTAAATACTAAAATACACTCATTGAAAAATCGATTTATATTTTTTAATTAAAGTGGGGATTTACTGATTAATATTGAGAAAACGGTAAAACATCGTCTGCTGTGATTTAATTACAAATATATGATATTTATTACTAATCAATTATGTAATAATTATTATTAATTTTCAAACTAATAATATCTAATATTAGAGGAACTATTGTTGTTAGTCCGGCGTTGCCTGCCTTTTTGTTCTTTTTTTGGTTGTTCCTCAATTTTTGATTGTTGAATAGCAAACAATGTCCAAGAAGGGATTTGATGATTTGGATGATGATTATCTCATCGAAATACTGATATTCCTTCTCCTTATGAACACCATTTCCTCTTCTTCTTCCTTCTCAAATAAAAAAGTGTAGTCAGAGAAAGAATGTCCATTTTTTTATCTTCGAAGATAAAGCGAAATGTTCGAAGGTTATAGGCAGGTTATAACAACCCCAGTGAGCAGTTTCAGCGAAATAGCTACGCCAGCAACGGTTGGCAGCATGGAATAGCGGTTGCTGTCATGGGCCGCGCCAGCGAAATAGTACCTTTAGGGGAACTCATTTTGTAGTAATTTGTATCAGTTTTTGACAAGTTTGGTAAGAATTGGCGTTGGTTGACTATGGTTTTATACCTTACCACGTAACCAAATTAAAAAGTTTATATACTCGTTCGAGTCACAATTTAACATTCTTTAATTTGTTAAAGAGAATATGTTTTGATGCATCGTTTAGGAGGTATAGGTGAAAAAACAAAAAAAAATTTGGATAAAATCTGACTTTTTTGGCTGTTATAAGTTTTCCCTTGGTGGTCCGTATTAGCAATTTTGTTTTTTACATGTCTAAACCCATATATACAAAATAAAAACTTTTCTCACATTTTTCATAATGGATTTTCTGTTTCGGATCTGCAAATTATTGGCCTAGTAGTATTCTTTAAATCAGTCGCCATTTTTTAAAGCAGCGGCTCCGGAACGGCAGACAAGGTTCTTTTTACTCAGAACAACGTACACTTTCGTAATTTACAATCAAACCTTCGCCTGCAATGAAGTCGATTTTTGGGCCCTGGCTCTAGGGCTATAAAGAAATATTTAAACTAGACAAAATTTACATCAAATGGTGAATAGTGTTTGTCATTGTTAAAGCCATTTAAAAAGGACTTTTGAGTGGCTATACTAAGTTTTTTTTTTTTTTTTATCATAATACAACAATTAGTTATTACAGGCACCCCACTTTTAGACAAACTTTCCTGTTTAATAAGCTTCAAGTCCGTATTAATTAAGTTGAGATTTATTCAGCAAACATTTGAGATTAACCTTAAGTCGTGTAAAAACATGTGATATTTTTATCATGCTACCTAAAAGTGCTCATGTTTTCAGTAAAAATGACTACAATTAACTGTTGCAAAGCTTTTGTTTCTTGTTTTTCCATGATATGGGATGTATTGTAATAAACATGATTGCCTTAATAAAGTTTTTATTAATATAAGAAAATGTTCAGAATAATGATTTTTTAAATATTTTTCAGATAAAGTAGTTATACAACATTTTGCTCCCAAATCTATCATAGCAATTGATCCGTATTTATAACAATTTAATGTTTCTAACACTAATATTTATGTTTTCATTAATATAATTAAGGGAAGAATGGTTGGGGTGATCAGTCAAAACAAAAATGACAAAAATAAAAAATTATATTCATTTATACTAGTAGGCCCGTGCAAAAAATTCGCACAGCATATTGTTTTCAAATGCCAAATTAATAATAAAATAAAATAATGCAACGTATCAAAAGATAAAGAAATTAATTTAAATCTTCATTAATGTTTGGAACCAATCATTATATAATCATAAGCACAACCAAGGAAAAAATGTGTACTTTTTTAGTTATTCGCAAATAAAGTTCGTTTTCTTTCATAACTTGTTTGCCTGAATTTTTGAGGTGATTGGACTATTTTTTCCGCCTGAAGGAGAAGGAAGCCTTCGAAATTGGTGGCTCAATCTTGAGATTTGGTAAAGAATTAACGATGATATGGCTTGCCAATCAAAAACACCATCGATAAATAATATAAACTCCTCCTCTCTCGATGACAGAAGCCTCAAGTCGACGAAATGAGACATGTATTCAATGACAGTACTACAATTAACGTAAGGTTGTGTGGATGAGAACCCTATGCCTTGCGTTATCTCAAAAATAGTACGTTTTTGGGCTTAAAACACGGAATCTGATAGTTCCGAAGGAACTATCTGGGTCTTACTGTACGCATCAAAATCTTCAAGGTCCAATTTGTCCCGTATCAATCTACAGACCTACCACTGTTCCATTATCGAAGCCTAGCGAAATGTTTTTGTCGACTTTATTTGTTTTATAAAGAAAAACAAAAGTGGAGAATACAATTCGCTAACCCCCCATGAAATTCTGAATCCAATGGTAGCCCATTCATGGTATTTGAGTATGACAGGAGCTTATATTTGGTACAAAACCGATTTTGAGCATTACTGTAATAATATATGTGTGTGGATTATTATTATTGTTATTTTTTATTTTTTCAATTCTTGGCTTTATGCCAGATAAATTCATTGACCCAGACCGAGGTCTAGGGTACAGTTTATTGAATATTTAATTTGAAATATTAAAAAAATTTCAAACAATACTGGCGGTTCCCAGCATTACCGCTTTCTGGATTTCCTGAAATTCTCAGTTTAATCCAAGTATCTTCATTGATTTTAGTCTCTTCAGGAAAGAGGCCATTGCTGGATACAATACTGGGTAGTACTCTTACTTCCACCAGTCGGTATAACTGCTTTAATTCCTTGCATAGCTTTTGATACTTCTGAATTTTTTCACTTAATGTTTTAGCTACATTATCATCAGCAGGCCAAATTAAGGCCAAACAAAACTTAAAACCTTACTATAATTAATAAAAGTCACTGAAAAAAATGAGGGAGGGGAGGTAAAAGTTGACAGATTGAGAGAACGCCAATATTAACCAAACAGCAATATAGTTAATTATTGAGAAAATCTATGTCCCACACAACATCAAACCGAAAATTAAAAAATTCTGGTGCGGTGCGCGCATCACATAACTTTTACTTACCACCCTCTTCTTAGCAGAAATAAATATTTTCAGTCAAAGGAGAAGTGAAAGTAAAAATTATAGACACTATAATTATTTATATTTCATTATGGGTATTTTTATTTGTATAAGTACCCATATATATACAAATTTTAATATTT